CGTAAAAAAAAACACTATATAATGGCTTTATGAATTATTTTATTGAGGAAGGAGATTTTGTTGAGATAATACTACAACTTAAGAGCTACAAATCACCATAAAAATAAGAGTTATTATTAATAAGTAAATTGAATAATCTAATAATAATTATTAATAAATAATTTTTAAAAGAAAAAAAATCCCCGGATGGGACAGGACGGGACGACCCCGTCCCACGTCCCGTCCCGTCCCGGTTACTGTCCCGTCCCATCCTGTTTTTGTCCTGTCCCAACATTTTTTTTGTCCTGTCCTGTCCCGTCCCGAACTCACTGGGACCGGGACGGGACAAATTGAACACCCCTATTAGCTATAGAGACTTCCTCCTTCTTTTGCTTTTTTGTCCCTTTCTTGGTTGTGGAATAAGCTTCAACACATCCTCAAGCCATTCATTTTTAACATAGTTTACCAACCACCACATAAAATCACAGCGAAAGCCTGATACTTGACCCTATATAACAAATTCAAGCATGAATACTTTTTATATCATAATAAATAAGCAAAGTATCTCACTGTAGTAGAGGGGAACATTAGGTTTCCATTTCCTTAACCATATCAGGACATGCACACCACAATCCCTCCTATCCATAACATCACCACACCAGTTTAAGTTCGTTAAATCAACACAGTCAAACAACATATAACATGAACATGATGCATTTACTAAGGGATATCGAGGTTGATAATTTTCAAATTTGCCATATTGTCAATCAAATTTGGTTTAACCATGCGAAGTATGTCTTTAAACCTATCTCTTTGTACTTATACAATATTCATCAACATACTTAAAAAATAAAATGGTAATAAACATAAACGTTATGACATACAAAGAAACAGATACTTACACATCCTGTGATGGTCATTTCCCGAGAGTCATACATAAAATCAAGGATATTGAACTTTATAGTCTTTGGCTCAAGGGCAAAAAAGAACTAATGCTCACCAACTGGTGTAGGATCTATAATCAAGTTACACTCACCTATATTATACCCAAAATATTGTGGCAATATTTGTTGCTCATGATGTGTGGGATCCCAACAAGCTAGGTCAAGTGTCATAACCACCTATTAAATACACAAATTGAACTTGTTATGTATAATTATTTAGTTGTTATTTGTAAATATAGATTTATAACTTCCATACACAAAGTTGTTATTTGACCTACTATATTTGTTGAATCCATAACCAGACTTGTTATCTAATATACTAAACTTGTAAGTTTCATGTCTAGACTTATTATTTTAAATGCTCCACTTGTTATTTTTATATGCAGATTTGTTATTTCAAATATTATATTTGTTATTTTCATAGCTCGACTTATTATTTAATTTACTAAATTTGTAATCGCTATATTCATACTTCCAGAATTTTACCATGAAATCCGCATAAAATATATGCCTCCCAGCTTGTCCTTGTCCTTCTTCGGCCTTTTAGTCAACTACAACAACTTTACTACCAATGATATGACCTACGCTTTAACAATAATGCATGTCATATGCATCACTAAAAATATACTTGTCATTTACAATAATAGTTAACTTTATTTCGCCCAAGTAAATGCAGTAAGCATCAGGTGATGTTTTCATCAAATATTCTGATCACAGGATTGAAAATTAATTCAGTGAGTTAATTACCATGTCATTAATGTTAATATGAGAAAACTTAAGACAATCACATTATTTGAGAATAACAGTACTTAAAAGTCACCCTCATCACCTTTGATACTTCATATTATAATAGTGAAGAAAATATCCCTGTCCTCTATAGGTCTCATCAACCTAGGTGCTACTTTCAACTCCAACCAAGGAGACTTAATTTTCCTAAAGTGCTGAAACAAATCTTAGTAGATCTCCTTAGTTCTTGTGGTTGAACAATTTCAGTTCCTGTCACATGTTGTACTATGATGGGTGTTTAGCACATAACAGGGTTAACATATGCAATTATTGCCAATGTATGTCACTCTCCACATTGTCACCTTCAACATTAGATGATACTATCATCCAGGAACTAGTTGAAAGTATGTCAGTCTCTAGATCATCCTTTTTCTTCCCATCATTATCCCTATCATGCTTATTCTTATCACTCTCACCATCATCCTTCTTCTCATCACTCTCATCATCATCATCCTTCTTTTCACCTTTCCTAACATTCTAGTCATTACTCTTACTATTATCCTTGTCATCACTCTCCCCATCATCCTTGTTCTCTTTACTCTATACATCATCTTTCTTCTTATCTTCATTCTCTCCATTTTTACTGCCTTTATCATCACTGTGTTCATTGTCCTTACCCTTTACTTCCATGGTCATCATCTTTAGTGTCACTCAATGTTACTATCACTCTCTCAACAGGAGGCGTCATGTCTCTAGCAAACTGTACATTTATCAGCTCCTCATTTAGTAGATTGATAAACATGTTGTTATTTTCTTCTATCTGCTTGATCATTTGAGCTCACAAATACTTCAAGTTCTACATAGAAAAGATATTTACTAATAAATATGAAAGTAACAACACTAAATATGGAAATAACAATTTCACAGTTCGAAATAACAACTTCACTTATGCAAATAATAAGTTATTTTTAGTCATTATAATTAAATCAAATAGTCTGCATCAATACCACATACCGGTTTTAAAAAGTCAATGCTTCTCTCCTGTTTCCTAGATATATGAGGTTTATTGCTACTATCTCTATACAAAATATCCCGAGCACTCTTCCTATTCTTGTTGGCCATGTCTTTTATCCTCATATCTGTCCAGTATTCTATGGGACTAGCGGTACCTTAATCATTAGCTTTGTTTAGGTTAAAAAACTCACACACAAAAAAATTTGTTGCACCACATATCGGGTTCGTTTGGATTAGCAATTAAAAAGTAGCTTATTATCAATTTGGCTTATGAAAAAGTGAAGTTGGGTAAAAGCTAAATTGGACAAGCTAAATTGTGTTTGGATTGGAGTTTAGAAAAGTTAGTTTGCAAAAATGAAATTAATAAAGGGTTGTTTAGATTATGGTTGAGTAAAAGTAAGTTTGGTTATAAAATGACCAAAATGGGTATGAGTTTTAATAAATAATAAAACATGATTAAAAAAATGATTTCACATAATACAATGAAATTAAAATAATTTAATATGAAGAAGTCAAATTTAATGAGTGAATTAAATTTTAAAACTCTAGAGAAATCATAAAAAATATTTTAAATATAAAGTGAAACATGAAAAAATAAAAGTATATTTCTAGGAGCATATTTAAAAACAAAAGTATATTTCTAACTTATTTATTGCTTTCAACTAATTTTAACTGATTTTTTGTTATCTACAAATTAGTTATCTGAGGGATATAACAAGAACCAAAGGAGGTAAAAAATTTCTTAACTTCTTCTCTCTCCATGTTTCAAGAGCTATAAGTCATAACTTGTTAATTTTAGCTTATAGCTTATTGTAACTTTCATACAAGAGCCAAATTACCCAATCGCTCATCTAAACAGCATCCAAATTTCCAATCGGGCTTCTATCAAATTTAAGCTACTTTTCACCCCCAAAAAGCCCAATCAAACAGGCACATCATCAGCGTGAATATTGTCTACATAGAAAATAAAATATCCTAATAATGAACTTATTATTCCTACCTACTTAACAACTTGTTATTTCCCATTATAAACTTGACATATCCTCGTACCTAACTTCTTATCTCCAACTATTCAACAACTTGTTATTTCCATTACTCAACTTGTTAAATCCTAACATTCATCTTGTCATTTAAAACCAAACAAACAACTACTTTTTCAATAACCTACCATTCTCATTTTAAGTCACAACTTGTTATCTGGCAAGTCAACTTCCTTCAAATCAATTTATTGTATATACCAAGTCTATTATGATTATTCCCAAATCCATCATCGTTATTTCATAGAAAAATATTGGCGCCCATAACTAATTTAACACAAAAACTTATATATTTTACAACAAAACATTGAATATTTTTGTGGAAAATTATGTGGTTTATGAATAACGGTAAAATTTGATGGATTGAACTTACATTAGATCAAGCAATGCAATATGATTTGTTTGTTTGCATTTTGTTTATTTTATTAGCAATTGTAATAATTAGCCATACCAATGGATATCAAATTCATAAATTTCCTAAGCCACTCAAAAGACACTCACACAATGTGTAAACGAAGATGATGGACTTATGCAACGTATAAATCAACATTACTATTACAAAACGATAAATTAGTGGTAGAAATTTCATCGCTAACGCAATTCTGTGGTTAATGAATTAGTGATTTTTTTTTTGCAATGAAATTTGTAAATTTTATCATTAAATTCCATCACTAATTCACTGTTTATATATATAAGTCACTTTAACAAATTTATATTTATTATTATTTTTCAAACTAATTTGTCTAACTTATAAAGTGATATATAATTTAATACTCCCTCCGTTCCTTATTATAAGAGACACTTGATGTTTATGCCATGTTCCTATATATAAGAGACACTTACAAGTTGTCTCTACTTTTTTGTGTTGATTTACTATTTTACCCATATTTATTATCTCCAACTCACACACTCTCTCTCTCTCTCACTTCTCTTTCTTTTAATAATTTAATTGTTCTCTCTCATGCTCTCTCTCCTTATTAATGAGGGCATTTTTGGAAAAAAATTATACTTTTTATACATTAATTGTTCTTAACTAACTTTAATTGTTTTTTTGATCAACGTACTTCGGTTATTTGTCTCTTATAATAAGGAACGAAGGGAGTAATACACATAAGCATTTTAGAGATATCATTTAACATGTGTTATAATTGAGTAATTTATTTAGTTTCTTTAATCTCTCTAATTAGCCAATTGAGTATTATATTAAACATGGGAGATAGTACCATGAATAGATAATACTGAAATTTGAGAAACCCATGCAAAAGTTGCTTTAATTACACCATCTCTTTGGACTTTCAACACATTTATTGATTTTATTTGAGAGTTACAGTCCTCGCTCGCACTATTACATATTGCTTAGTAAATTTTTCCCCTCATAAAACAAAACCTACTTTTGCCATCTCATTCAAAATAAACACCAAAGCAAAGGGCGCGCACACATTTGCCAAATATTATTTCACACAAACATAAACTTGAATCTCTCTCTACCTTCTCCGAATGACTTGGCATCGTAGTGGATCTTTCTTCTCAAGAGACAATTTCAAGCATTCTGAAAGCTCCAGAGGTTGTGATGACGTGGGAACCCATGTGAAATGGTAAAGCAATATCGCAAGCCACAGATGAACCGTGGCTAAGGCCAGCAATCTTCCCGGGCACACCCGACGACCCGCTCCAAATGGTGCGAGCCTTAGGTCCGAACCCATGATAGATACATCCTCTTTAACAAATCGTTCAGGCTTGAAGGCCCATGGGTCCTCCCAGATGGTTGAGTCGTGTGTTATGGCCCACATGTTGACCATCGCGGTGGTGCCAGCTGGCACGAATGTCTTGTCCACGTGGACGTTATTGACCGCAAGACGGGCCCATGAGAGCAACGGCCCTGGTGGGTGCAGGCGGAGACTTTCTTTGACAATGGCTTGGAGGTAAGGGAGGTTGGGAATGTCGGAGTCTCGCACATGACCATGCTCTCCAATGCAAGTGTCAATTTCTTGTCGGGCTTTGAATTGTATGTCTTGGTGAAGAGCCATTCTCGCCATGATCCATTCAAGAAGAATCGCAATTGTGTCTGTGCCTCGGAAAATCATTTCCTGCACATCAAAATTTTTATCCACCTCTCATTGGTCTCCTTTTGATTTATACAGTAGAAAACAATATACTGCCTTCGGTCCTAAATATACTACCTTCAGTCCTAATTATAAAAGGAGTTAAATTAGTTATTTGTCATAAATAAGTGTTGTCTTTCCTAAAATATCCTTACTAATCAAGTGTATTGGCTATAACTACCATTGTTAGAAGGACTATCTTGGAAAAAAATACACAAATATTAGAGACAAAATGGATTGGGGTCTTAAATCTATACACTATTGTACTTAATACAAAAACTAGTTTGACTTTTAATTTGGTCCTAAATATAAGACCTCAATCTATTTTGTCTTTCATATTTATTTATTTTTTTTTCAAAACAGTCCTTATAATAGTTGCACACATTAAATGTGCTATTAAATGGTAATTCTACCTAATACAAATGATTAGTAAGGGCATTTTAGGGAAAATAGTATCTATTTATTACAAATAACTAACTTAACACATTTTCTTAATTTACTGAAATTAATCAACTAACTTTTACACTAAGGATAGGACCGTATATGTGTGTAAAGTAAACACATATATAAGCTGTGTACTAATTGATTTAGAGAGCTGTGAACTCCTTAAATTGCAGGGAGACTGATATATAAGAAAAACAATGTCAGAAAAAATTTTAAATATTGTTATGACATTAGTATACTAAAGTCGGCACAATCTGAATAAATGGATAAATTTAGTTTATCAAGTCAAACAAATTATTACTTGGATCATACTAGAATCATGCACAAAAGACCTATATGGTAGAAGGGATCAAGTACGTACGGACCAACTAAAACACATGCATTATAAGTTGGCTCTTTCAATGCTATTATCCAATCAAAGTCCATTTGCAGGAATACATTTATATATATATACTCCTCCGGTTCTTAATGTAAAACACATTTAACTAATTTGATTAGATTAAGGAAGTTAGATAAGTTAGTTAATTATAAGAAATATGACACGTTTTTTCCTAAAATACCATAATCATCTTTCTTAATACCCCCTCTTCCTTTCCTACTTGATTATGGTTGAGGGAGTATCCATAAGGGTAATTTAGAGAAACTGATAAATATGATAAATGAGTCTTATATTTAGAACTAAAACTAATAACTCAATAATTAGTTCCTATATTAAGAACCAAAGGAGTATATTTAAATGGAAGAAGAGTTTGAGAGATCCTTACCCACAAGATAGCTACCATATCTGAATCACTTAATCTTTCCTCCACTGGCAAGCTAAGCAAAGCAGTGAGCAAATCATTATTACTTTGAGTCTGATGATTCTGATTGTGATCTGCTTTACGATGTTTCACGATTTGACCCACCAAATCACTTACCTTAGCCGCCAACTTGTGACATCTTCTCTTCACACCTTTAACGTCCAAAAATTTTAAAGGGAAAAAGTCTTCCCAATTGAACTCAGCAATCAAACCGTATCCTTCTTCAACCATATTACCTAACTCCTTCTTCTCATCATCACCCAAACTGTTTCCAAACACACTCTCCAGTATATTACTCAACGACCCTTTTTGCAATATCCCTCTAACTTCCACCTCTCCTTTTCCCTCCATCTCGTCCTCAATCCTCATCACCATTTCCTCGGCCACGCGCCTCCGAAGACCGTGGAGGCCCCCGATCCCCCTTGGAGAGAACATGCCGGCAGCGATCTTCCGAAGGTGGCGCCAGTAGGTGCCGGCAGGAGCAAACCCTATGGCTCGCTCAAACATTAGAAAGCGAGCAGATTGTTTAATGGGACGATAGGAAAACGACGCGCCGCATAGGATTTCCCTGGCCGTCTCCGGGTGGCTGCTTATGATAACTGGTGTGGCTCCTAGACTAAACGACATGAGCCTTTTTGCGTTCATAGAACTGGCCATGGCAGCCAAATTTCTGTGAGCTAGAGAACCCATCTGAGGCAAAGTCCCGATCATCGGCCATCCCACTGGACCTCGTAACTTATTAGGGTTTCTGTAATGATGGTAATTCCTCCATGCAAAGCCTCCTGGAACAACCCAGTAATTCAGAGAGAAAGCGAAGATGGTGAGGGACGAGAAGAGAAATAAAGTAAGAGGCCAATTACAGGAACACAGAGAGATTGTAGTTTCGAAATGGAATAATATTGCAGGTCCCAGACACAGTGTGAAGAAGAAGAAGTTGGCAAGTGATGATAAGGATGAAACCGCCATGGCCTTCGGAATTTGGAAGAAAGTTTTGAGAGTAAAATAACAGAGAAAGTTTGATACTTGTCAATATCTAGCTTGTGGAATTGCCTAGGGATGTACGTCTGTCATGTATATATAGGGTTTGGAAAGTGACCATGGTTAAGAACCTGCGATTAAGAAGCTAACAATGGTTAGAACTAACCTTATTGCTTTATATTTAGTAGGGTGTATATAAATAAATTAGCACGGATCCTTTGTTGCCGATGATACTGAACTTTTCAAATAATTTGAATCTTGTATTATTTGCATTCAATCATTATTTTATAAAAACAACGGTTATTACAGAATAATTTTTATTTATATATACTTTATATAAAATAATATATGATGTACGTAATTGAAAAATAATAGCATAGTGATGCAATTGTTTTCATAATAAAAAGTCATATTATCTAGTATATGTACCGATGTTAGAATTGCAATTCTTCATTTTTTTTCTAAGTGAGTCTGAATATTATTTAAACCTAGTGAAAGATAAAATTATGCTGGGAAAACTACATGTTTAAGTATAATCTAATCGTACATCATATTAGATAATTGTATTAAAAAAAATCATTCTATATATGTAAAAGGCTAATGACATACTTCCTCTGGTTCAAAATATAAGTATCAAATAATTAACTTCTGCAACTGAAAAAGTTAATTAAATTTAGTTAAAAGTAATAAATATGTAAATAAAATTAATTTATTTTTCTAGACCCCCTTATTTATGGAGAGAGTAAATGGGAGAGAGAATGAGTGGAAAAAGAGATGAGAAAGAATAAGTGAAAAAAATATAGATGACAGAGACATATAATCAATTAATATATAAATGAAAAAAAACTAAATAATCAGAAAAATATTTATAGCTTATAAAAAAAATGCCCCTTCAAAGTTTGATGCTTATATATTTTGAAGTGGAGGGAGTATCTTTAGCTGCTATATCCGATTCTTAATATAAGACCTAGTTGACTAATTTAAAAAATTAAAGAAGGTAAAAAATATTTAATTATAGTATATGTTACATAATCTCTCTAAACTATTTATGTATATCATTATATTATAATTAGTTTATAAATCGGGTAAATTAGTTTTGAGAAAAATAATGAATATAATAGTTTCAAGTGATTTATTTAACTTTTTTAGTCTCTCCAAATTATCAATTCGGTCTTGTATTAATAATCAAAGATAGTGTGTGTATGTTCGATGACAAAGTTGCCCTAGCAAAGTTTAGGTGAGGCCATATCCATGCGTATGCCTTCCTTTTTCAAATAAGCAAACTATAACAATATATGTCGTGTCGACGCTGTGGTATGTCATGTGGAATCAAAATATACTTCAAGACGACGTAAATAAAACTATACGTGTGTGTGTGTGTGTTTATGGATGTGTATATGGATGGATGCATGCATGCATGCGAATCCCACATAAACAGAACCCACCATTTTCTCTCTATTAAATAAAAAGTATACTTCAAGTTGATTATATATTTTTTTCTTCGCTTTACTTGGAGTACACTTTAGAGAATCCAAATTTAAAAGTCAATATGTAAAAACAAATAAATGAAAAAGAAAACTGATTAGGGGCAAATAATTGTTTTTATATAAGAAAGTATAAACGTACACTACTATGTATATACTTCTGGAAGTCTGCGCTGGCATTGTGCACGCTTTAATTGCTTGCTTTCACGATCAACGTGACAATCAACGTCCAATTACCTAGTATCTATCATAGTGATATTATGTTGGTGGTTGTCTTCTATGTAACTTTAGCTCACTATAGCTTGGGTCCCCATGAAGGGAATATTATTATTTCTTTTAGTTTTTTTTGTATATATCAGTGAAAAGATTTGAGGCGTGCTTATATGCTCAATGAAATTAATTAATTAGCTCATGCTTGCGTTCGCTTCAAGCAATAATAAGGTAGTACCATTTTGGACTTTGGAAAAATTATCAGAGATATCTGCGTTTAGCAAAGACGACTGCTGAGAATGATAGTTAGATTTCAAAGTATTAATTCAATGGTAGTTAGGTTTCTAACAATTTTTTTTCAAATAAGGGTTCATTATGCATCCAGAAAATATTTTTTTCATATACGTCTGTCACTCCAAAATATTTCATGATTCATCTAGCATTCTGAAATTTTATGATTCATCAAGCTGCACCCTTGAGTATTTTTTCAAGTGTGTCAAGTACCTTAAATACGCTAACCTTAAGTGTTAGACACACTTAACAAAATATTTTAAGGTACTGAATAAATCACAAAATAATACTTTAGGGTACTAGATTAATCGGAAAAAAATATTTCAAGGTTCCTAACCTTAACTGTTAGACGCACCTAGAAAAACACTTTAAGGTCCTGAATAAATCACAAAATATAATTTATGGTACTAAACACACCTTAAACAAATATTTCAAGATGCTAGATGAATCGCTAAATACTTTACGGTGCTGGATGAATCGCCAAATACTTTACGCTAGATGCACTTGAAAAAATATTGCAAACTGCTAAATGAACTTTAACTCAGTTAATTGTAAATATCGATCCAGATTGTTGTGAATACTGGAACTATTTTGCAAATTAGGTATTTAAGTTTCTCAGTTCACATTTGAGATTTCCATTTGTAACTACATTAAGTAATACTACCTCTGATCCTAAATATAAGAGTTAGTTAGTTAATTTGAGTATATTAATGAAATAAAATAAGTTAGTTATGTATAATAAATAAGTGTTGTCTTTCTTATTACTAAAGCTACTATTATTAGAAGGACTATTTTGAAAAAAATGTATAAATATGAAAAACAAAATGGATTAGGATCTTATATTTAGGATAAAATAAAAGTCAAACGAGATTTTATATTAAGGACCAGGTATAGTATATTTCTATATTGTTTCAGAAAATTTTGTCGGGGACATAATTATCATTAATTTGATATTTTTCGGATTTATTTGAATAGCGTCACTAATGCAAAACCGTATTTTCACGTCTTGCAAGATATGCTATCGGTGATTATCTAATTAATAGTCAGTTTCATGCAAACTGGCGCGGAAATTATGGCTTTAAAAATGCTCTCTCTCTCTCTCTCTCTCTCTCTCGCGTAATGATGAAAGTATGGAAATGAGTGTTTTTAGTCTAGCTCTTTTGATTTAGGTAAATTATACAAGTATAACCCTTAAGTGGATTAAATATTCAAATCTCGTAAATTAATGACAAAAATACTTTTAAAAAAGTTTTCTTTAGGGGACCAGTGAACATGCATAATCCCCACTTGTTTCTAGAAAAGTTTTCGATTCTTTGAGAATTTGAATGCTATAATGTGACATAATTGATTGCATATGGTAAAACATTAAAATATTTACCAACAAAACCTGGTATAGTTGGTAGATGACTGGGTCCCTTAAACATGATGTCCTGGGTTTAAATCAGACCGTAATCTTTATGTCTTGAGAGGATTAATCTCTAGCTATTGGCTGGGGGATACCACCTGGTTTCTACCAAAAAAAATTAAAATATTTTCTTTTCTTTTTTTAGAAAAAAAGAAAGTATCATGCTTCTTTATATCAGTATTGTCTCTAATATAGATTGACAGCATGATTTTAGAACATTTAATTCTATTTCTTGGTTCACATTCAACGTTTTTTCGCAATCAAAACTGAAAATAGAGGAGGGATCTTTTTGTATGATCTTTATGTGCAAGTATGCAACGTTTATTATATTCTCCTCATCAGTACATACTAGCTACTCCTTCGGTCCTAAATATAAGAACTATTTTGTAGTGTAAATACTACAAAATAAATCTTATATTTAGGACCAAAAGAGTATTTAATTAACAATAATGTTATATTAAATTGGTCTTAGTGCTTCGTTTGTTTTAATTAACTTCCATCCACTTCATTGGGTAGGACTCCCGTAATGGGTATGAGAGTGGGTTCTAAAGAGAAAGTCGCTTACAAGAGGCAAAAGCAGTAGACGACACCAATACTGAAAAGAATAAGACACCAACACAGAGTGAGCAGTGACCACACATTATCCATTAATCAACTTTAATTAGCTTTTGGGTGCTCAAATTAATTATAGCAGGATTCTTCTTCTTCTTTTTTCCGCCCCTAGAAGCCTTTTCAGGGTACGTTCCTTTAATTTAGTTTGTTAAGAAAATTGTCCTTTCCTATTAGCATTAATAGTCCTCTATCAATTTTATTAGTGTTAGGGGTCAAGTGTGAGCTAGCATGTGACAATTCCATATTTTATAGGGATATTATTGTGATATTTAGAAAGTTATGGCCATATTTTGTATGCTAAATCATGGCTGTTGTGCCTAGTTTTGTTATGAGCGTATTTTGGAGCAAGATGCTTCATTTAGTGATAATTGTGTGATTTTATGATTTATGTTTGATTTCTGTAGTCCCTATATCTAAGATGATGATATTGTAAATGTTGTTTCATCGTGTACAGGGCATAGGAGCTATTTTCTTCAATTTCACTTCACTACTTAATTACTTCGCTCCAGCAACCAACAGTTCGAACCAACATTCGCCTCTCGGAAATTATATAGGAATTCTTTTTTTTTGGTACATAAAAAAATTTATGTGAGTTAGGTCCCGAAAATTCATCAAAACTAGAGTATGTGCCTCCAGGTTCAGAGAACGCTTACAGAGATATTTACAAATTGTCCACCTATAAGGTTTTCATACTAGTAATAAAATTCGAACTTACGACCTTATGAGTTATGAAACGAATCATTACCAACTAGACCAGCTCTTTTGGTAATTATATAAGAAAGTGAAGATATACATTTTCCCCTTGCGAGAGATGCAACTTCGGCGCCACATTCTCCTCTTGGGGATTACGTAAAATACGCTTTACCCTGGCCAGTGAACCATACCTTCTCTCTGGCATTCGCTTCTAGGTTTAGTGAGGGAACCCAACCTAATTGAATAAAGAAGGTTGTAGTGAATCCAATTGTCAACGACATTCATTCCACTGCCCTTAAGACGCACGAATTCCATTTGT